GTACGGTTCGGTTAATTTTCGGTATTTTTTTTAATATCATGTAAAATTCACCAGTAGAAATAAAATGAATGCAATAACATAAGTTCATTTAGAGGACTTAGCAAAACTCTCTAGACATTTTTACTATTTAAAGGGTGATGAATTAAAAAAGAAAAAGAAAGATGGCTAGAGTATAAATCCATCAACTATTCTACAACAATGTAAAAGAAATCAAACAAAGGCAAAGAAAATATAAATCACACGAGTTGAAAGATATAACAAGCTGGGACTCAAGAGTAACGTCTATAGAAGATTAAATATTCAAAAAGATAAATCTAAATTATATGAAAGGAAACATATTCAATACATTGTAGTTTGCTACTCCTAATCGCTAGAATATTTTGTGTCTTGCTAATAAAGATACTTGAAATAACTTAATTTAAGTAGAAGTAGCATAATAGATTTTAGGAGTTAGTATTTTGAGTTTAATTGATTGTTGGCTTGTAATAGTTTTCATAATTCCAAGGCCCAAAGAAAATATAATGCATTATTATTTTTAAACTTACTAAATAAATATATTTTCCACGTGTAAAATTTATTCGATACGGTTCGGTATTTTTTCGGTTTATTTTTATAAAATAAAAGACCTACCCTAATTATCGGTGCGGTTATAGATTTATATAAAAACCTACGATTTTTTAAAAAGAAACCTATAAATCGATTCCGTGCGGTACAATTCGGTCGATTTAGTCGGTTTTCGAATATCCATTGACACCCCTAAATGTGATTAGCTTTTAAAAAGCCTGATAAAGTAAAAAATCTCTATAGTACAGTATCAAAGGACTTCAGAAATTGAATTAAGCACAGTAGTTTATGGCTTTTAGTTTCCATAGTTAGCACTAATAAATTCAGTTTACCAGCAAACTATCTTTTGCAAGGAGTCATCTCTTCCCCACTGAATCTTGTGCATTAATTAGTTCATCCAATTGAGAAGAAAAATTGAAGTTCCGAATAATTAGGGTTACCGATAACATGAGATCAGCTAATTATATCTCATAAATTTGAAACACCCTTTAGGCTAATCAAATTCCACTTTAAACTAAAAGATCAGAGACTAATTAATTTCCAGATACGGATTGATCATTCGTCAATGATGTTGATGGCTCAAGGCATTCCAACTTGAATTAACTTATTGAATTCTTTGCATAGAAATGCTTTCTGGACATGGGCACTGGCCAAACTTTACATTGCGTCATATTTTTGCTTCCTTATTGATCTCACCTTTAAATTTAAAATTAATAAAGGCAAAGGAGTAGTAAAAGAATCACAAGGATAAAAGGTGAGAAAGAAAGGTTTTTTTTTTGACTTCCAACCTAGTGATCGGATTACGTATTGGAGTCCGACGAAATTCGAAATCGGGCTAAAAAGTCTTACATTAAAGGTAATGCACTCTGTATTAGGGTCCAACTAAATTTGAATTTGGATCGATAAGTCCTACATTGGAGGCAAAACACTCTCTAATAAAGATGACTACGTATAGAGGCGGAGCCTGGATTTGAAGTTACTGGTTCGGGATTCTAGCCTTTTTATGTTACCGGGCTCCAAATAAGAATTTGTACTTATTCAATGAATTTCTTAAGACAAATATAGGTTTGTACTAAAGCTACTGGGTTTGGTCGAACCTGTTACCAAAACTCTAACTCTGCCCCGACCCCAAAACCTCTGGTTAAGTATTAATGTACTTACGACCACGACGATGCTTGTTGGTTGGTAGAAGGGAAAAAGAATTACTGCTATTATATCATATTTTGTACAATTAAGATTCCAACTCATGAGTTGTTCTTTCTGCAATAGGTTAAATATAAATTTGTGGAATAAATATAGTATAATTTGTTGTTTCTAGTAGAAATGATCTCTGGACATGAGAGGTCGGTAAGCCTTTTTATATATGTTTTGTCTTATCATGTCTGTAAGCTGAACTCGGCAAACTTTCCCATCACCCTTCCCCTATAAATAAATAAAAAAGTATAAAAGAGAAAGAAATTAAACAGGAAATTAAGCAAATACAAAGAAAAAAGAAACAGATGAATATGTATATATTCTATTTGATTAATTAGCTGTTTCTGCGGCAGGCTTATAATAGAGTTTCATAGATACGTATTTAACCTCAACATCCCTAGGCATAAAACGGCCGGTTTAGGGTTTTGTTTCTGTCTCCATCTTTGTGTTGTTAATTTCTTTTCCTTTCCTTTTCTATTTCGTTTTTTATTTATTTTTGTCTTTCCAAAAGTAAATTAACCCAAAGATAATCTTAAAATAATGTGATATCGGGAGGAGGAGGGGTGGGTGGGTGGGGGGGGGGGGATCCAATGGTTACCGAGTTTTATTAATATAAACTTGTGACTCGTGTTATACTCTCTGATCATATTTTTGGAGATGATGAAGACTCGTTTTATTAATATTATTGTGTTGGAAACCCATTTGTGGTTAGTTGATGAAGACTGTAATCGATTTAGGTGAATATTGGTTGGTTGATTATGTTGTTGATTCTGAGACATGTTTATTTTGGATGGTCCTAAAATAGGGAAAACTTTGTCTGATTTTCTGTAAAATACCGAAGAGGATTACTTGGGGGTACTTGCTCCCAGGCGCCAGTCATGATCTTAAATTGGGTCGTGACAATAAAACCATTGGTTGCACTTTAGATCTATTTGGCCTTAAGTACATCTGAAGTGGAATGCTTTCACTTCAGACAATTTTTTTTTAACTTCAGACCCGATAAGTCTGAAGTTGATCATAAATTGGGCAGGCTTGCAATTTTTTTTCACAAAGTACGTATAGGTTAAATTGTGACCCCAAAGTCGGATATAAATGCAAAAGCCCCAGTTTCACATTACCATTACCTCCTAGGCTTATCTAGAGATTAACTATGTGCCACCTACATCTTACATCTTTATGGCCACCAAAGTTTATAAGCTAGCTTCTTCTAGCGCACGTGTGCACTACAAGCTCAGAGAAAGTAGTAAATCAAGCGCCACGCTATCACTGCGCTATCCCATACTTGTCCTGCCGAACCATATGCTTTGATTTTAATTGTTGGCTAAATTAGTCTAATGATATTCTTAATATGGTGTGATATTGTCTGCTTCTGGCAAAATTTGCATTATTTTTTCCTAAAGGGCTCACGCCATTTAATAGTACCACTACACCTCATATGTAGCTTTCTTTTCTTTTCGGTTATTACCGTTAGGGCTGTGCACGGATCGGATCGGATCGGATTTAGCACATTTCGGATTCGAATTTCGGATTTTGGATTCTAGAAAATGCAATTCGAATCCGATCCGAATTATATCGGATTGGATCGGATTTTAAAGTTTGGATCGGATCGGATTTCGGATCGTATTATATGCCTCAAAGTTAAACTAATATGTATATTTTCTTTGTAAAAGAAGCAATACATTAAGAAAAATTCATGTTTATGCAATTATGAGAGTACTATGGTGCCGATATAGCTAAATCTAGCAATTGTAAAGGTAATAACTTGGAGGTTGATGCAAAGAAAGTACTGACTATCCGAAATTAAAGTGTAGTATTTATATATGCCCTAATAATTTCGGATTTCGGGTCGGATCGGATTAAAATATACCAATCCGAAACCGATCCGAAATCCGAAATTTTAAAAAACACAATCCGATCCAATCCGAAATCCAAAATTCAAAATTGAATGGATCGGTTCGGATTTTGGATATCCGATCCGAATGAACAGCCCTAATTACCGTAGGACTTTGTTCATACTCTCAACTTTATTATGTTCAACTTCTATACGCTGACACTGTAAAAAGATTTGCATTATCAAGTCATTTTATAGATAATTAACAAAGAATAAGATTAGTAACCAAAAAAATTTACCTGTTATAATAATATTCTAAAATATACTGAATGTATAAAAATTCTCTACATTGTCACTTAACTCTCTTTTCTTCCTGTTGGTTGGGTTGATCACTCTTATTCTTTTTATGTTTGAACTACTAACGTCACAAAACGTCTTGGGATCCTTCTATGGTAAGTAAGATAAGAGAAAAAGGTGGATGCAAGAGGGAAGACAATGATTTACTGTCTTTAAATGCAAGAACTGATGTTGTTATCTTTATTGTCATTATTATTTTTATTGTTTTGTTACGATAATACAACAATTTTGTTTGATCTAGGACGAAAAATTAGCAGCGTTATTAACAGTATTTCCTACTATAATATTTCTTTCATAAAAATACATGTCAGCAAGAATTTATCAGTTGATTTTGATGGTTAGCAAGTTAAGCAAGGCAAATAGATAATTCTAGGGATGAAGCAAAGGCAGCAGGTCTCTACTAAATGCACTTCCATACCAATATAGTAAAAGGAGGACATTTATGGCTCTTTTGAACACTCATCCCCTACCCACAACCCCATAAAAATGGTAACTTCTTTTCCTTTTCTATTTTGAAATAACTTGATCTTGTGGTCCCCTCCATTGGTAAATATTTAGCCGAGACCAACAACAACAACAACAATAATAAACTTAATGTAATCTTACAAGCGGGGTTTGGGAAGGATAGTGTATACGCATACTTTACCTCTACCTTAAAAAGGTACATAAGCTATTTTCGATAGACTCTAGGCTCAAGGAAAGATAAACCACCTGGAAGGCACTAACCGAGTATTTACTCCAATCTAATAAATACATGATAAATTTCTTTATAAACACGATAATCACTAAACCATAGTAAATTAATACATAATCTAATCTTAATTTATTACTTAATTATGGTAAATTAATATGATCTACTATAAACATTCGGTGCGGGTAAATTTTTAACCCTCCCAATAGTAGCTTAATTCTTGGTTCAATAAAGTCTGCAATCCCTCTTCCACCCCCTTCTTTTTGTCCCTCTGTATCTCGATATACATGCATATAGATAAATGTACGAATGTGTATATGTCATAATGTATATAACTTACGCCTTTTCTCTACCCTACGAAGGTGTACTAGTCAGAGCTCTAAGGCTTCACACAAGTACATCTTCAAGAGCTTTGATAAGTCACCACCCCTTTTGCCCCGTTTTTACAATTAGATTTTTCCATTGCTTTAAGAGTACTTCCATAAATATGAGGAAAATCTTTTCATAATGACACAAGAAAAGCACAATTGATATTCTTCTTCTCTTCTTCCTCCATATTGTTCATCTTTATTCTTGCCATGGATATCAACCACCACCTTAAGCTCACAACCTCCACTTGGCAACCAACCATGGCCAATATAGATGACCATATCTTCGACGATCATCAACAGCAGCAACAACAACAACAACGACGAGAATTCCCTTTTGATCATAACCCCATTTGGCCTAGTTTTCCTCTTCAAAACCCCCACCACCACCTTCCCACTTTCTCAAGCGAACTGCAACAACAACAACAGCAACGACAACAACAAGTCCCTTTTGATCATGTTGTAAACAACCATGTTCAAACATTAATAGAAGATCATCATGATCAAGAACCCGAGGACGATGAAGAAGAAGAAGAGGAGGAGGAGCTAGGAGCTATGAAGGAAATGATGTTCAAAATTGCAGCTATGCAACCAGTGGATATTGATCCAGCCACCATTCGTAAGCCTAAAAGGCGAAACGTCCGAATAAGCAACGATCCACAGAGCGTCGCAGCCAGGCTCCGCCGCGAAAGAATCAGTGAAAAAATTAGGATCTTGCAAAGATTAGTCCCTGGTGGAACTAAAATGGACACTGCTTCCATGTTAGATGAAGCCATTCGCTATGTTAAGTTTTTAAAAAGGCAAATTCGCCAATTGCAATCGTCAAATCATCATCTTCCCCCGTCACAGGTACCAGTAGTTCCGTGCCCTAGTACTGAAAATTGGGCAAATATTATCACACCAACAAAAGCTCTAATTCTTGGCTCCTCCAGTATCACCACCACTACCATCGCTACTACCGCAACCTTTGTTGGTAACAGTGCATCGGATCCTACGTATGAGGTAATTGGTAATTAGCTAAAAAAGGATTGGGAATTGAAGTGATTATTATGATCATTATTATGTACTAATGAAAATTATTTTATAAGAATAAAATTAATAATAATGGAGGAAATTGTGTATACTGGTAATGTCATGTGGAATTGTGAACTAAAAGAAATAGGTTTGTTAGGATTGTGTTGACTAAAGGGCATGATAATCATCACAACGGTTAGACTTGAGTTACGTACGTTCCATATATATAATTTATAATATAAGGATTTATACAATAAGGTTTTTTATCTGATCATTGTCCGAAAGTTCGTTTGGCTGAATTCTCTCCCGGGAATAAAACAGTGACGTTAGAAGCAATTGAATATGATTATACCCTTGGCCCCTTCCCCACCCCTACCCCTTACCCTAGGGTGGAGCTAGTAATAATTAGGGGTTCCGTAGAATCCAGTAATTTAGACTCAAACTCTATATTTGCGTAAAAATTATTTAATATGTACAAATAATATGTTCATAACCCAATAAATAGAAATAATTTGTCCAAAACCCATAAAGTAAAAATTCTGACTACGTCGGTGCCTTACCCCTTTTTTTCTGTGCTCGTGTGTGTGTATGGTGTTGTACAATCAAGTAATATATGCATCATTGGCATGTATACGTGCAAAAGAAGAAAAGTTAATTTGGGTTTGAGATTTAGGTTTCTTTGCTTTCATGTGTCAAATTTTGCCAGGATTTTTCGGCAGAGTTTATGAGTAATTTAAAGCATTTGTAGTTTTATTTGTGTTTTGGTGATGAGACTGAATGTTTAGTGAAAAAGAAAGGAGTAGCTATATATATCTTTATAAAAATTGGAAAAAGATTTTTTTATGCTGCGTCAACCATAACACGTCTAAAGAAAATAAAAAGTTGGAAATTAAAGAACTAAAACTCTACATCCTGATCATTTGAGTTTCTTCTCTCTCTCTCTCTCTCTCTCTCTCTCTCTCTCTCTCTCTCTCTCTCATATTAATAATCTTGAGTTTTTGTCCGATGCAACGTGACTTAGAAATTTATCTCCAATGCAATGAGATTCCAAAATGGTGTAGCTTCATCTATGTGTTTGGTTAAAAGGATTTTATATATATATAAAACAACGTTGTTACTCTACTTTGGCAGTTACTTTGGTACCTTATGGCCCCCAATGATGCATAGTTTTGCATAATTGTACTTAAGTTACAACCCACAAAAGATCTAGGTAGTTCAGTTCCTATGATGTTTGCCCAAAATACATCAATGGCAAACACCAGAGGAACTGCTAGAGAAACTGATTTGTTCAAAAAAAATTTCTTTGCTGCCTCCTTCGCCAGCACATCAGCTACCCTGTTTTGCTCCCGGTATGTGTGCCTCACCACCACGCTGACCATCCTTTGAATCAACGATCTGCATTCACAAATTAGAGGGTCAAATATTAGATTTTCATTTAATAGCATATTGATTGTTTCTGAAGAATCAGTGTCTATTTCTAGCGGAAGTAGGTTGTTTAGTTCCGCTAGTTGTAGACCTCTGATAAGGGCTTTGATTTTTGCCCTTATGTTTGTTGTATGGGGTATGTTTTCCATGTATCCTAAAATCCAGTTTTCATTATGATTTCTGAAAATCCCCCCAACTCCCCCCATTCCTGGGTTTCCCTTAGCTGCTCCATCAGTATTGAGTTTATAGGAGCCTCTTGGTGGTGGAATCCATTTTAGCATGATTTGGTGGATGTATTGGTTTTGCTTGTTATTATTAAGCACATGGAACTCAGTTGCCTTAGCAATTGTGTTGCTAGCATTGATTGGGTCCTTTTTGTTGTTGAACACATTGTTGTTCCTTGACAGCCAAATGTGCCAGAGATAGTAGGAGGCTGTCCCAGTTGAGGCAGTTATTGTACTTAACACCTTTGATATTTTGCAAAACTGATTGCCAAGGCTGGCGATTGAGAGGTAGATCGGAAGGTGGTGGAGCTGTAGATTTTGATTGGATTGAATTCCAAAACTGAACAACATTTGGGCATTGGGAGAAGCTGTGGTAAATGTCCTCTTTTTCAAACCCACAAAAGTGGCACTGAGGGGGGGGGGGGGGTCAGTTACCAGTCCAATAGAGTGTAGAAGGCACCTGGTGGGTAGTCTTCTGTGAGTTAAGAGCCATATAAAGTACTTTATTTATTTGGTGTTTGGAGTTTCCTAAATCCACTTGAATTGTTGTTCTTCCCTAAGGAGAGTAA